AGATTATCAACATTGAGAATGGTGAGTGTCACCGTTCTGTCTCACATCCCTTGACCTTCTCTCAACCTCGCCTCGCCATATTCTTATTATGCCTTCGTTTCTTAATCTTGTTTTGTCCTTTCTTATTGTTCTTTTTCTATCTTTTCTCCCGTCTTCGAATTTTATTCTACTACAGGCTTTTCTCTTTATTATTCCAGTGTCCTTTCTTTTTTCCTATTCTCTCTCCTGTCTTTTCTTCCTTATTGTTATTCTCCTTTCCTTTCTCTTTATCAACTCCTGTCCTCTCGTTCCCATATCTGTGTTAACATTTCTCTTTTTTTATTATTTTCTCTAAGAAAAAGATTTGAGAGTGTATAGGAACGATGTTGTCAACAAATTATATTATTCCTAGGAGTGAATGACTGGGACAGATTATGCCTATTTTCACGGTATTTCTGCCTCCACAATAACCCAAAGTGAAGAGCGCTATAGGTTTCCCACATATAATGAATTTTTCTTCTTATCATTTATAATATTACTCAGGACAGTGTCTTGACTCGAGTGTTTATCTTTTCGACCACGAATCAGCGTCACAAAAAATCTTATGAAACATTTTAGAAAACACTGAACGGGTCATTACATGAATAAATTCCGCGTCAGGAGAGGTTAGGTTAGGTTAAATAAGTGCTTCTTGACAGGGGGTGGGGATATTACTCATATGGTGATCCGCTACTGGAGCTTTTGGTCATCTGTGTTCTACCTTTTTAAAATTCAGGTTGTATGGAAATTTTTACTAAAAAAACAAAACTCGCTATACTGCTGAGAAAGGTCTCGGATGCAGGCAAACATGTATAGTGGTCTTCTGTTTGCACCTTCGACCCCCTAAAGGAGGCTCGATAAGCATGAACTAGGAAAACATGATGCTTTCACTAGGATATGGAAGAGACCAACCAGGTGGCCTTGGATACAGCCGCCTGGGTGGTGGGACCTGGTGACGAACTAGGTGGAGGTAGATAACCCCAGCAGAGGAATGTGCTCAGTATGAGGCAGGTGGAGGTGGATAGCACCACCACTACGGGGTCTAATCACTAGGAGGCAGGTGAAGGTGGATAACGCCTCTACGGGGTTTGATCACTGTTAGGCAGGTGGAGGTGGATAACACCTCTCCGGGGTATAATCACTAGGAGGCAGTGAAGGTGGATAACGCCTCTACGAATTCTAATCACTACGAGGTCTAATCACCTGACTCCTAGTGATCTAATCACTAGGAGACAGGTGAAGGTGGATAACAACACCTCTACGTGGTCTAATCACTAGGAGGCAGGTGATGGTGCATAACAACGTCTCTAAGGGGCCTGATCACTAGGAGGCAGGTGGTGGTGGATAACAACGTCTCTAAGGGGCCTCATCACTAGGAGGCAGGTGGTGGTGGATAACAACGTCTCTAAGGGGCCTGATCACTAGGAGGCAGGTGGTGGTGGATAACAACGTCTCTAAGGGGCCTCATCACTAGGAGGCAGGTGGTGGTGGATAACAACGTCTCTAAGGGGCCTCATCACTAGGAGGGGTGGTGGTGGATAACAACGTCTCTAAGGGGCCTCATCACTAGGAGGCAGGTGGTGGTGGATAACAACGTCTCTAAGGGGCCTGATCACTAGGAGGCAGGTGGTGGTGGATAACAACGTCTCTAAGGGGCCTCATCACTAGGAGGCAGGTGGTGGTGGATAACAACGTCTCTAAGGGGCCTGATCACTAGGAGGCAGGTGGTGGTGGATAACAACGTCTCTAAGGGGCCTCATCACTAGGAGGCAGGTGGTGGTGGATAACAACGTCTCTAAGGGGCCTATCACTAGGAGGCAGGTGGTGGTGGATAACAACGTCTCTAAGGGGCCTCATCACTAGGAGGCAGGTGGTGGTGGATAACAACGTCTCTAAGGGGCCTGATCACTAGGAGGCAGGTGGTGGTGGATAACAACGTCTCTAAGGGGCCTCATCACTAGGAGGCAGGTGGTGGTGGATAACAACGTCTCTAAGGGGCCTATCACTAGGAGGCAGGTGGTGGTGGATAACAACGTCTCTAAGGGGCCTCATCACTAGGAGGCAGGTGGTGGTGGATAACAACGTCTCTAAGGGGCCTCATCACTAGGAGGCAGGTGGTGGTGGATAACGTCTCTAAGGGGCCTCATCACTAGGAGGCAGGTGGTGGTGGATAACAACGTCTCTAAGGGGCCTCATCACTAGGAGGCAGGTGGTGGTGGATAACAACGTCTCTAAGGGGCCTCATCACTAGGAGGCAGGTGGTGGTGGATAACAACGTCTCTAAGGGGCCTCATCACTAGGAGGCAGGTGGTGGTGGATAACAACGTCTCTAAGGGGCCTCATCACTAGGAGGCAGGTGGTGGTGGATAACAACGTCTCTAAGGGGCCTCATCACTAGGAGGCAGGTGGTGGTGGATAACAACGTCTCTAAGGGGCCTCATCACTAGGAGGCAGGTGGTGGTGGATAACAACGTCTTTACGTAGGCTAATAACTAGGAGGCAGGTGGAGGTGGATAACAACGCCTCTACGGGGTTAGTCAATTTGAATCAGCGGAAACTTTCTGGCTTTGGTTAGTTACAAGTTCTTGATGGTGCGTCCAGAGAGCAACTCCTTACCTGATTTATTCTGCAACTTCTGCACCACCCAAGATCTTCCCCTACTTTTTATCGTTTCTTTCCTCTTTACTTTCTGGTATATTACTATTGTACTTATGTTTGTGGGGGAGGGAAACTTACCTAGTTGTATTTGCAGGGGTCGAAATATTGTTACAAGGTTTGCTTTTTAAGTCATATCCCTTAAAACACTTTAAGCAGGGATTGGGGGGGGTGCCTTCGTTAAATTGAGGGCTCTTGATCCAAGTAATTGGGGCTACCCTCCTTATGTATGACCGTTACAGGTTAAGCGCTTCTACAAAGAATTTGATGTTAATAATTATAAATTTTCTCACCTGAAATTGTTGAGTATTGGCTACTAACACTTCTGAGTTATAGCGATGCTTAGTATAAAGTATAGCTCCTCCAGTTACCGCGCTTAATTTTCTATATTAACTGGAGCCTAAATTTACAACTCTCAGTATGTGGGGGTCTGAGAATTTTTAAAGGAAAAAAGGCGTCTTCCATCTAGAAAAAGTTAAAAACTACTAAATGATCTAGACAATCGTTTTTCGCTCTCTGCAATGAGACAGAAAGTTCTTCCTATTTTTCCTTGTTTATATTTGGCCCTTCAGTTATCTATGTTCTCTGGATACCGTTACTTATATCATAAATAGCCTATCCTACCCGTTTGATCTAATTCGTTGAGTATTTTGTATGTTATTATCATATCTCCATGGTTCATTTCTCACCTTGTGTTGATCTGTTACACGTATGCCATTCTCTAGTTTCTTGTGTTAATTAGGAGTATGTTGCTTCCAATTTGGCACCCCATACTCCAACGTGGATCCACTTTCATCTGTCAGGTCGGTTACGTATACTAGAAAAAGCAATGGTTCAAAAACTGATTCATGATGGACTCCACTCCTGCTCTCTCCAGTACCTGCATTCCTGGGAGGGTTGAAGGTACAGCAATATCGACAGAATAGAGAAATAGTCATGTATGCACCTTTAGGAGAATTTATTGAAGGAGGCGCATCGATACTGGTGTTTCTTACAATCCTGAGATAAAAAGGACTGCATTTGATGCGTTTCACCAGTGGCGAAACTTTTTCAGTATAATGTTCTGTATGTGAATTCGTGGGCCTTTCTTTCCATTATCATTCTAGTTTCCGCTTGAGTATTACAACTGCGTAAATATTAAAACTAAGCACTCAGAAAAACTGGAAATCAGAAAACTAAGCAATCAGATCATCTGTCAGATGAAACAATCAATTGAACAATCATCACAACACAACCAGCACATATGAGCAATCAACACAATTGCACAATCAACACAACAGTTTACTCAACTTAATAACAACAAGTGAACATAAATAAGTGAGAACTAGACTACTATTGGGTCAGTAACTCCTCGCCGCCCTGTCCGGAATCATCAACACTCACCTTCCAGGAATATAACATCGTAGCATGAAATAACAACGTTGCTCTACTTTGCGACCTGGTGAAGGTGACTTCCGTCTGTGCGCTGGTGGCTGCGGTGGGAGGGGAAGTCGAGGGATAACAGTGTGTGTGTGTGTGTGTGTGTGTGTGTGTGTGTGTGTGTGTATTTCGTCCCTTGAACCAGTGAATGAAGTTTAATCTCAATATTTATTCCCGTAGTGTATATAATATACGTTGTAGAACGAGCATTAATTGGGACAACACTTTGCTCTCTGTAGATCTTTCTCAAGTGATATATAATGTAAAATATGCAAGAATTTATAGACTCTTTAGAGGAGAAATAGAAGCAGATGAGATTCCTGTATAGGTGACGTGAGGTGAGTGAAATAATAAGAATGCGAGAAGTATGTGTGTGTGTTTTGTATCTACTGTATGACTATATCACAGAGCGATATGTTGTCTCAATAAAAGTTTGTACTACAGTGTCTTTTTTCACAGTTTTTTGGCATACGACAATTAGATTTGTCTTCCATTCATAGCTTGTCTTACCTACTCTACGTTCATAAGTAGCAGTGTTTCCTACACTGTACTGGATCAGTTGAGTGATCCGGTTCATTTTGTGTTCCGTCATTTTGGTACTATACCAGTGATAAGAGCAACTCTTTCTACACCTTGTCTGAGACTCGATCTGGTATATTGGGATCTTTAGGATAATATTAGCAAATATTAACGAAAGTGTTCAAGTGTTTAGAACACAAACTATATTTATTCCTTGAAACATCAGAGTAATGTGGATACCTTTGACTCCCATCCACCTTTTCCTTTCGCATAACTCCTCTGGAAAAGCTTTTACTGCCATAACCTGTTTCCATACCTAACACCCCAACACCATCGCTAACCACCACCAGGATCACTACTGGACTAACGACCATTTGTATCTTTCACAGCCGACGAGAATGACGGGGGGATCGGCGTCATTGGGTGGATCCTGACGGGGCTCTCATGGGTGCTCGTCATCGCCACCATGCCCTTCTCCTTCTTCGTCTGTTTCAAGGTACGTGTCTTTGCTTCCTCCTTCTCCTCAACGTCCTCCTCCTCCTCCTCCTCCTTCATCGTCTGCTGCCTATGTTCACCTAGTAATAAAGTTACACCTAGGAGTTAATAAACTGTTGCGGGTCGCATGCTGGAGGAGAATATAAAAAATACCAACAGAAATAAGCTGAAGAGCCTGGCTTTCTTGGGTTAATAACTCAAAGACTTTCATCTTCGTTTCTTCAGAATTACATTTTTTTGAACCCTTTCTTTTTCTCACTTCATCATGTTAAGTGAAAGTACTCAGATTGTTCAAGTCATAATAGCAGGTAAAAATACAGCGTGTCAGGTCATAGCATACAAGTCACGCCTCTTATCGGGTTCTTTTTATGAAGCATTTCCTATATCACGCCTCAGGATGGCTGAGACCAGCAGCGTCGCAAACTACTGCAAAACTTCCAAAATTTGTGTCACGTTAAAGTCCCATTTTTTCACCAAAGAAGTCATTGTCACTTTCCCTACCAAGTCTTGTCACGAGTTCCACTTAATGCTTTATCTTAGGACACACAGATTTTTCTTTACTTTTAAATGATGCGGATAAACTTAGATATATGTTATGATGTGATTTCTCATTGAAATGGATCGGAAAGCCAAAAGCTCTACTGAGTCTGTCATCATATAGCAAAAATTAGTATCAGAAAGTCTCACTCAATTCTCGTTAAAAACGAGATACCTCCACCAGCCTAGTATTATGCGTTGTCGTTGGACGTGGGTCGCAGTCCCGCTTACTGTCATGTCAAGCCTGTGTCACTGATCTCAGATCATGTCTTACACTAGCTAAAATCAGGCTTCACGTCACGGCTTCATGTCATTTCCAGTGTCACTAACGTCACCACAGGTCAGATGATTCTTTGCATTATCTCCGTTATAATCTGGGCTAATGAAGGAAGGTTCAGCAGTTTTAATTGTTGGCCTTACCTCCTCGGATATTAAGAATTAGTGATCTGGTGATCTTTTCTCCTTCGATAATAAATGTTGATCTGGAGTTTATAAAAAACACTTTCCTTAAGGCAAAGTATTTCTGTCTAAAAGTCAGATGTATGTTCAAGAACATATCTGATTACTTCCTTTTAATTGGGCAAAGAAACAAGGCTTTTAAAATGTCTGGGAAAGACCAAGAGAAAAAAAACTGATATGAAACCTGAAGAGAGCGGGAAGAGTTCTCAAAGGCTGCAAATTTGGCAAGAAATTGGTTGAGTATATTGTGACTGTCAAAGGAGTCCAGACTTTTTCCTCTCAGCAACCTCTTTTCTTCACATTAATTTTGTTATATTGCTTTTATTATTATTATTAATTTAGCCGTTTCTCCGCCGGCTTTTCAAGTGGTGCCCGGCCTTGGCTCCCTCTTTAGGGTGTCTGAGACTAAGTTTCACACTGGGAGGAGGTACCACAAGTACTCCCCATCTTTGGGAAACTTCCCAGCTAGCCACAAGCTAGGCTCTTGTCTGTCATCCCCTCCCCAAAGGGGGCAAAATGTGAATGCAGTATTATGAGCTTAAAGTGGGCCGGTCAGACACTACCACCTAGATTGGGTTAGGCATTGGTGTATGATTATATTGCTTTGTAACTAATTTTTGTAATTCTATTCAGTGTGTTAGTTTATACTCTCTCACAAGAATATGTAAATATTTATAATAACGTGAAGGTTTAGCAAATGTTAATTTTTTTTCCTAATTCTTCTACCCTGTTGATCCCCAGTTCTTTGTTTGATTCGTATAATAAACTAAGGTTATTATTATATATGTTGAAAAAGGAAAAATGATTGATGCAGTAATTAGCGTGATTAACTCATGGCCCGAGTGAAAGTAATGATTCTGGCTTATTGAATTAATTGTAATTTAAGTTGCATATTGACTTAGATTGATACCTAAGCTCCGGTCTGAAATCTCGATAGCACCATCGATGTTACGTTTATCCTCTTCGTCACATTACAATAATCAATGCTAAACTCTGCCATTATAAATAATCGTTGAGCATCTTAGCTTATTATGCAATCGAAGTCACTTACTAGCAACAAGGTCTTCTAATTGCTGGATACTTCACGGAGGCAATAAAATTAGTTTACAACCCTGATGGTTGAGTGGTTGCGCCGCCACCTAAATACTCCCTCACAAAAATCGTCAGCCTATACAAAGCTAAGATGTTTGTTACAATTTACAGTTTCATAGACATTCCAGATCTACTTTTTTGTTATCTAGCAAAATTTATTTAATAAATTATCTCTGAACTTAAAAACCCGAGCCTCAACCACATATTAACTGTGGAAGTTAGGTGGATCAATATTGGGCATTGATTTCTGTATTTTTCTGGACAGGAAGAAACAGAGCGAGTGATGGAAACCTGTTATCTGATAAATAAATAACAGGTAAACACCGTATCACTGGGCTGAGACAGATATATGTTCCATTGTTTTAGTTATTGGTCCAGTGTTAGGGTATAATATATGGGTGCTTGCCAGACTACGGTTTTTCTCCTCTAGTGAGTCAAAATGACTGCTTAGTTGTGGCGAACCAAATATATGTAGAAAGCAATAAAAATAACACACAATATGAAAACATAACATTCAAAAACTGCCCTCTTTCACAGACAAATAAGATAACTTATTAAATTTTAGTGATGATTAGTGATTTGTCGAGCCTTGTAGAAGATCTGCCGAATATCTGCTTCAATCTCTTAATCTTTTCAATCCTTTGGCACTAGGAGCAGACAGGAAAATTAAAAAGTTTAGGTCATGATGGAGTTTTATAAGTATGCTCGCGAGAATACTCACATACCCTGTGGATTGGGATGTTGGTTTGAGATTACGCGTCTGTGATTATTGCTTTTTGTCACAGGAGTTTCGTTTTCACTATGTAGTTTGTCATATACTATATTTTTCCAGTGGTTTTAGTACACACTTTCCCCTCTTGGATTCTGTTCCAGTTTTCTGTCGGCAAAACTGTTTTTTCTTAATTTACATTTGCGGTAAGATTCGTTTTATCTGTTTTCTCGATAGGCTGTAAACCCCATTAACTAACCCATCAATTTTTGTATATACTGATGAATAAACTTTTCTTAATATGTGTGCACCGAGTACATGTACAAAAGTACATGTGCAAAAGTACATGTGCACATGGAGGGACATATATAACAGCTAATTTTAATCCAAATACACCGTACATGGGATTGATGAAGAATTGGTGACGTGAAAGGATATAATCCCAGTAAACTAGTTACGAGATCGTTTTCAACAGAGAGAATAGCAAATCCAGATAACCTTTCTTTAGTTGCTGTTGCAATAAGACATACATTTTTTATTTTTTTTATTTTTTTTTTTGGCTCGATGAAACTATGCTGACGTGATGTTCTTGCGGATGCAATTGCCATCAAAATCTTATGCTACTTTTATGCTTGTTGGAAGAAACCAGTAAGAGATTTATGAAGCAGAAGGGGTTGAAATATACGTTTTATCTTGAAGGGAGTAAATTCTTGGAATACAAGCAGCTCTGAGAAGAGTTCGGGAAAATTTTCGACACTCAAAGGAATTTTCATAAGGAATACACAGGATTTTTTTGTCGTTTTCTGATATTTATTGAAATTTTTAAATTTTGCAAAATAATCTGAAGAGTTATTTAAAAGTTGTTACTTTTAAAGGCTTTATTACTTAGTTTTTATTTTTCTCCATTATAAACTGACATTTATTCTTCAAATTCATATTCAGCTTCTGACTCGGATGTTTAGATGTTTCTGTTTCTTTCATTTTGGTTCAGATATTGTCTCTGGTTGATAGAAGGATACTTGGTGTCCAAGACACCTTTTTTTTTATACAGACTACAGTTTGTTATGGGTAGAGTTTAACGAAATTGAGACTTAATCAAGCTTTACCCAGAGCGAAAAGTCTGTATTTCTGCAGAGGTTTATTCAGTTACTTCAGTTGTTTAATAGCCACATATGGTTACATTCCTCTGGATTGAAGACCGGTCTTAAAAGATATTTAAAGCTCGTAACAGGCCAAAGACTCTTCTTCCCTTTTAAACATTTGACTTACTTCATTATTCAACAGCTTCATGTAAGGTATTCATGATATCGATTGTCTGGTAACGGATAGCTTTCAGAGTCTCTGCTCGACACTCCTATTTTCCGTCAATCGTTTTAAAGCCAAAGAGGGATCATTCCTGGTTAACACTTGACATTTACGAACAAAAGTGGAAAATATATTTTAGATTTGCTGTATAACTCCAAAGAATGTCATGACTTCATATCTTTTTACTGTGCCAATTGGTCCCACAAGAGTGTGGGTTACCCTCATCTGAACGACATTTTTGCAAAGTTAGTGTGGGAACAATGTTTACCTAAGTTCATCATCATCATCATCATCAAGCAGGACGGTATCAATTTCATTCTCTACCATACAGAATGGGTTTTCAAGTAAGCCATCGAAACCCGTCAATCTGTACTGGAAGATATGAGTAGAGTATCAAACACTCCAGTGAGGGTTCAGGAGTTATCGAGCAAGAGATTACCACTAGGGATGGTATATCACAAGTATTCTAGAAAAAAACTAAAGAGCTTCCTATATACAGCTTTAATTGTGTTTCTGTTCTAGAATAGATGTACCATGAAAACTTCTGGGGCTGTGGACCGAAGGAACGGGGACCAAAGTTCGTGTTGTTGATACATCAGTGTCACGAAAGTGCTGGTTGTAAAATCTTTTAATTATAAGCTCTGTGGCTGAGTGTTTAGGCTTGCTGCACTCCTGGATAACGGCTCGAATCACTGTTCATCCTTCTGTTTAGTCACAGAGTCGTCCATTACGACCTGTCTTTGGCTGATAGCACTTGTATGATTGTGAAGCTGATGTATCATTGCCACAACGAAGATAAAGTTGACATTACAGTATCTTTGTGGAAACAGCCAATATGTTGAAAAACGCTTTCTTTACAGAAAAATATAGTTTTTACTTGTATTTGTGAACATTCTTTTGTCAAATTCTGTACGAGGATTTTAAAGCGAGCATAAGGTTGTATCTACACTCGAGACTAATATATATTGTTGGTATAGGTGGTGCAGGAGTACGAACGAGCCGTCATCTTCAGACTTGGTAGATTACTACACGGCGGCTCTAGAGGCCCAGGTGAGTTCTCATTTCCTTCTCTTCTCTCATGTCTCTTGTTACAAGTTCTTTTGATGCCCTAGTTGATATGTGATTATCGGAATCGTCTACTGATTCGCTTCCTCTTCTTTGGTAAAACTGTAAAATTTAGTTTTAAACTTTTTTGGTATGCTAATTATTTTTTACTAAAGCTGAAATAGCAGCATAATCTAACCTTCCAAAAATTTATAAAAATGGTTGTAACTGAACGTAATTTTTAAAGGGGTGGACCGTTAAGACATCGGAAGGCCTCGATCAAATGACCAAAAGCTCCAACGGCGGGTCATCATCTAAGACCCGCGTCAGGAAACACTTGTCCTATTTCCTGACGAACCTTACCTAACCTAACCTTCCAAAAATTCCTGTGAAATATCTAATTATTCAAGTATTTTAATAATTATATTGAACTGTTTCGTCCATATTTTGTATAATCACCCAGATAGTCTGAATTACTGTTCATTCACTGATCTGTTCCTGACTTTGCTTTGTTTATCAAAGATTTAACAAGTTTTCGAAGGACCAGGATTTTGAGGACAACCGGATCAAACCTCGGTTTTTATTTATTTTATACAAGTACGAACGTCAAGCCTACACACTTTAATTTTCTGAAGCCTTCAAGCAGTAAACACCAGTTTCTCATAGCACGGATGTGAAGGTACATGTACTTTCTGTAATGGACCCTCATGAGCTCATTGATAATTATGATTTATTCTCGTTTTAGATATGCGTTCTATAGAATTTAAATTACTTGATGTCAGTGTCAAATTATTTAGTCGAAAGACATGCTTGGCATTCCCTTTTAATGTGGATTTTAACAATCTATAACGTTATCTTTTCTTTTTAACTAAGCTTAACCATCCACTTAGGCAGGGTTATGTACTGGTGTCTCGGCTCTTTCAGCCCAAGAAACAATATAAATAGCAAAAAAAAGCATAATACTGTGACTAGAACAATACACAAATAACCCACACATAAGAGCTTACGACGACGTTTCGGTCCGGTTAGGACCATTTACAAAGTCACACTTGGGTTTTTGTTCTTTATAATTTCCCCCCCTTCCCCTCTGTGTCCTTGCTCCTACCCTCTGTGAGCTCTTAGCTCCCTCGCAGTGCTCCTCTTTCTTAGTATTTGACTGACTCCACTACTACGACGTCCACTATTACCTGTCTTGTCCCGTCCCTGTCTACTGGCCTATATATACTCCTTCCTTCTCTCCTTTTCGTTAGTGTGACATTGTAAATGGTCCAAGTCAGACCGAAACGTCGTCGTAAGCTCCTCTCTTCTATGTGCGGGTTATTTGTGTATACAATATAAGTTTGGGTGGGTGGATAGGAGATGCTATCAGGGTATATGGCTTTATGGGTTCAAATCCGTTGCTTTCATGATATATGTTTGTAAATAATTTCGCTTACTTATATGGATTATAGGCACGGATGAAATAACTAGTTATCACTCAGTAAACTACTAATGTACCCAGGTATGAGAAATGGCGGATATTTCTAACATTTTCGCTGTCCATCCGAATATGGGAATGAACTGGCCAAAGCACCAAAGTTTGACTCTGCCCAGGAGGCGAATTGAATCTACGGGATAGAATTTGCTCCTAAATAAATAAATAAATTTATGTATTATATATATATGTCGTGCCGATTAGATAAAATTGGTCAATTAGCAAGAACTCATTTATAATTAAGTCCTTTCTAAAATTTTCGCTTATACGTTTAAAAATTTTTTTATGTCAATATTAAAATTAATCATTTTATACATAAAGAGCCTTAAAAAATTTACCTAAAATTATTTTAACAAGCGCAATTTAATTTAGCCTATTCCAACTAAATATATTTTAGATAAGTTTACAATAATTTAATAAACAAACACGATGAAATATATTTTTTTCGTTAGGTTCAGAATGATTTTTTTTGCGAAATTATTGCATACACAAATTTTCACTTGCCTTATTCAGCAAGAAGAACGTTGCTATTTAAGTCAGAATCGCAAGTTTTACCTATTCGGCACGACATATATATCTTGTGTGTGCGGAGTATAATTACGCACTTCTTCCTAAAGTCAGAAAAGCTCCCATGTAAATTACATAATTTTTCTCAAAATTTTCTTATATCAGCAATATAACAAGTTGGACTCCTGCTAGCTAATTCTCTTCCTAACGTTTCTTGCAGTTTACACGGTGGAATGATGAACTAGCAGTGATGCTGGTTATGGTGTTGTCACATCCCCAACGACAACAAGGAGGTCGACTCACGTATTTGACTTTCAATTTCAGCACTAGCGGAGGACTTCTCTCGGAATCATGCAGAGAAAGAGAGGCACAGGTGCGGGAAGATGATTTAAAATGAAACTCGAGAGAACAGGTGTTGATGCAGATTCATCGAAATTATCCCCCATGATTATATTGTATAATATGTTGCGTTTATCTTGCTAAATCAGACGAACATTTTATATCTCTCCAACAGGCATCTTCTTCATCTTGCCATGCATTGAGTCGTACTCAAAAGTAGACTTGAGGACCAGTGTTTTTGACGTTCCGCCCCAAGAGGCAAGTTAAACCGATAATTTACTTCTCCGTCATTCAATATTTCACTCACGTCTCTCTCACACACTAGTTTGTGAAGGCTTATCTCTCTTCCACAAGAGCACACAGTTCCGCACACTTTCCATCCCAGTGTGTGATGGCATACACTCACATCCATTGAGTAGCAACACACACACACATCTAATATTTGAGTTACAGCAGTGTTCTGCCCTCTCAGCGTGCATAATGCTTTCCGTGTCCCGTTAGGAAGAATATGCTGAAAAATCCTTCTCTGTAAAGTTGAACAGTACCATTCTGGCTCAGCAATTATGTGCTCAGACCGGAATAAGTTCAAGTACATCAGCGATGTCTTGTCAGAACACTGGCTAAACAGAGAGGTAATATTTCAATTATTTTTGTAGAAGTGATATTGTATCCATCACTACTTGGTGAAACTCTTTATTAGTAGTTTTTGGTCTTTGTATAAATTTTGTAGGCATAGATAAGCGTCGCTTATTCTTCTCCGGAGTGCATGAGTAGCAGGATATGAGTGTGCATCGCTGTGGTGGCTGCCTGCCCGGTGCATGACTTACGTATAATCGTCCGGAGCAAGATCGTTTAGCTCTTCAGGGACTTTCTTGTCCCTCAGGGTCATTTGTTGAAGCTGGGTTGATTTAATTGGGACAAAATTTATTGTTATTGTTTTTATTTATTTATTTATTTATTTATTTTTGCACTGATTTGACTTTCAGAGCATGAACTCGGAACTGGAATCTATCTTGACACAAGGCCCATCATCTACCACTTGAAGTGCTAACGCCACTTCCCTTTTCCAGTGGTCGCCAAGGCTTCCCCTTTGAGTATATCCATCTCAGAGTGCAAGGAAGCCACTACGTGTATAATTCACAGAACACTTAGACTTTCATCATCACCTCAGACTTTCTATGTTTCCTCACTTGATCATATCGAACTAATGCTCTGCTTTTGTGTGTTCAGACCCCTCAGGTCCTTCAAGATCATGTCACTGGCCCTCTGTCCTGTCCCACCAGCACGTCTTACTAACAAATTGCTCCACCATTATGCTGAAACTTTCTCCCTTACTTACCAAAATGGTGTTATTCATTTTATTCCTGCCCCTTTTTACCCCAAGTCCATGAAGATGGCAGCCAGCCAGCCATTCTCTACACCCCACCCTGCCTGTGAAGATGGCAGTCACCCAGCCATTCTCTACACTCTTCCTCATGACATGGCATTTTGCAGGCATGTTTTTCACGCTTCCTTGTATAGACACCTACCGAAAAGTGGACCTGCGGACAGTAACGTTTGACATCCCTCCGCAAGAGGTGGGTGTGCCTCTATTCCCTCCCCCCCTCCCCTTCCACAACTGCCCTCCCAACAACCTGCTACTTTGTCTTTTGCTCTGTAATCTTCGTCTTCACTTTGTCTTCTATGTTTAGCCTTCCTCCCCACTTTGTCTTTTCATCTATTTTCTTCGTCCCCCCCCCTCCTTGTCTTCCTACCTTTAAAATTCGTTCTTTCCATTGTATATGTCAAAATAGCACAATAGTTATATATTCTCATTTCAATTAGGTGAAGGTAATAGTAATTAATTGTAGAGTGTATACTCCTCGACATCAAGATACTTCCCCACCATCCTCAATCACTCCAACAAAGCACCAAGAGCTACGACCTTATTTTCACTATTTTTGAGTTAAAATCCCGACAAGTTCGACAGCTGTCTAATAATTTCTTGGATATTTGTACTCCAACTTCATTTTCCAATACAATATTTGTAACTAAATGGTGTTTACAAACCAAATTCCGAGTGTTTCAGGATTAAAACGCAATGGTATTTCCATTCCCTTTTATTATCTTTCGTTCATTTCTTTCCTTACATTATTTTGCAATTCTTTTAGTTACTGGTGCGTCTCTGCTCGATAAACATAATACAGCCACTAAACACTACCTTCCTTCTCTCTGCCTTCCTAGTTAGTGTTTGGGGATGATTTTCTCTAATAGTCCTGCACGTACAGAAAGTACGTGCAGGACTAAACTTCTACACGTGCATGTATATAATTTTGCACGTGCATGACTTACCTTTTTTAAGTATGTTTCTAGATTTTAACACACGCGTAGCTAGACTTTGTTTACGACTATGATTAGACTTTACCATGTGCGTGACTAGACTTCCGAATGTTACATTTTTTGCACATGCATATTTAATTTTTTACAAATGCAGTTTTAGACTTTTGCACGTAAATATTAAAACTTTCGTGTGTGCATGTCTACACTTCCCCACGAGCTTATTAGTGTATTGGGGAATGTTTCTTTACGCTTACTTATCTTGATTTGCGCACTTGACCAGTCTTCACGTCGTGCGTAACTTGACATTTGCATGACCAGACTTTTTACGTGCATGACAAGTTGTATTTTTTGGTTAACATTCACTTAGTAATTTTATAGATAACCTAAAATTATAATCTGTTCTTACGCCTTTTCTTCCACTTTCTCTTCTGCGGCTTCTTCCTTATCTTATTCTCCCTTTTCTTCTTAATTCTTTTTCTGTATTACGGCCACTATGGCTGCAATCGCTAAACGTTTCATTACCAAAACTACTTCGTCTACAAGATCAGTTTTATCCTACTACCACATTCATCACTACTTACAACCAACGCAACCACAAGCAACACCATCACAGCTACCACTCCGATCACTATAACTTCTACTACCACTACCTCCATACTACCACCACCCTAGCAGCCAGTAATGAAATATTCAGCGAGGTAATCATCCGGTGTAATAAAGACTTTTACAGCGTATTTGAGCGAAGGTATTGGGTGTAATCCAAGCAACATACCGGACTTCCTCCACACCAACACTGACTTGCTATTACCAAAAGTGATCATATATGACTCATGATACCATATAGTTCATGGCAATGGTATCTCGTGGTTGACACGGAACGTTTAGGCTGCCTCTGTGACCTTGCAGTAAAGAGATACTGAACTTTCGGTGTGGCAACCGAAGACACCGAGTGTAAATAAGATTGCTTTTCAGACTTGAAATGTCCTGTGTTATAAATGAAATTTTATGAATGACAGAATAACGTAAGAGTAAAGATCCGTCATATATAGACCAGTGAGGCTAAGAGTCTTGATTTACAATTTCTACATCTACTACAGTTTAAAGTGGCCTTAATTCGAGGAACTGGAGCACAGATCCAATTCCCTAAATCAAGAGCCCCTCACCAACATCAAGGAACCTTCCTTGAGGGGTATGAACTCGTAACCTCAGTCCCTTTCTAACTGCCCATCCATAACCCATTATAACCCTGCACTGCCAAGTATGATTTTTCAGGACGTGGTTTGACTTCGGTACATCTTCATAATACCAGTTTTTAAGACCTAGAATTTCATCGCATGTCCTAATGTTACCGTGCTTAATATAATCACATCCCTTTCACTTTCCCAAGACGTATGTATGTCCAAATTCTCGCTTGCTATATCGTGTACTGTATTCGCTGACTTTTTCTAAAATATATGACTGCTTTCTTACTACCCATTCGACACACCGTCAACACCAGGTCCTGCTCAAAAATGAGAGGTAACCGATGTGCCTGCAACTACAAGCCTAGACACAGACTTTACAGACCTTTACAGACCTGCTATCCTAGCAACAGACTCAGTGTTGTATTTATTGTGCATGGGATTTGCATTAGCGTTTCTCTCTCTTTTTGTAGTTTATTTTGTAATGTGATTAGGATTTTTTCTTTATTTAGATACGTGAAACAGAATCAAGCAACAGGCTGTGGAACTCACAACTCATGACAACTCAACTATATACCGCATTACACTCCATAGACTATACACCGATTTCACACTGAAATCTCGCTCTTAGAAAGCCAGTATTCACTTGATGTCTTGAAATCACTTGATGGTCTAGCATCCTTTATATATATAAGTGTATATATATATATATTATATATATATAATATATATATATATATATATATATATATATATATATATATATGTATATGGGAATTGACACAGTTACTTTTTGCTGATGATACTGTGCTTATGGAAGATTCTAAAGAAAAATTGCAAAGGTTAGTGGATGAGTTTGGGAGTGTGTGTGTAAAGGTAGAAAGTTGAAAGTGAACATAGAAAAGAGTAAGGTGATGAGGGAATCAAATGATTTAGATAAAGAAAAAATGGATATCAAATTGCGGAGGAGTATGGAAGTCAATGTTTTCAGATATTTGGGAGTTGACGTGTCAGCGGATGGATTTATGAAGGATGAGGTTAATCATAGAATTGATGAAGGAAAAAAGGTGAGTGGTGCATTGAGGTATATGTGGAGACAAAAAAGTTATCTATGGAGCCAAAGAAGGGAATGTATGAAAGTATGGTAGTACCAACACTCTTATACGGTTGTGAAGCTTGGGTTGTAAATGCCCCAGCGAGGAGGCGGTTGGAGGCAGTGGAAATGTCCTGTCTAAGGGTGGTGTGAATATTATGTAGAAAATTCGGAGTGTGGAAATTAGGAGAAGGTGTGGAATTAATAAAAGTATTAGTCAGAGGGCGAAGAGGGGTTGTTGAGGTGGTTTGGTCGTTTAGAGAGAATGGATCAAAGTAGAATGACTTGGAGAACGTATAAATCTGTAGGGGAAGAAAGGCGGGGTAGGGGTCGTCCTCGAAAAGATTGGAGGGAGGGGGTAAAGGAGATTTTGCGGGAGAGGGGCTTGGACTTCCAGCAAGCGTGTTAGGAGTGTATGGAGACGAATGGCATTTGGGACCTGATGAGCTGTTGGAGTGTGAGCAGGGTAATATTTAGTGAAGGAATTCAGGGAAACCGGTTATTTTTATATAGGCGGACTTGAGTCCTGGAAATGGGAAGTACAATGCCTGCACTTTGAAGGAGGGGTTTGGGATATTGGCAGTTTGGAGGGATATGTTGTGTATCTTTATACGTATATGCCTCTAAACTGTTGTATTCTGAGCACCTGTGCAAAAACAGTGATTATGTGTGAGTAAGGCGAAAGTGTTGAATGATGATGAAAGTATTTTCTTTTTGGGGATTTTCTTTCTTTTTTGGGTCACCCTGCCTCGGTGGGAGACGGCCGATTTATTGAATTATAATTATATATATATATATATATATATATATATATATATATATATAAATATATATATATATATAATATATATAATATATATATATATATATATATATATAATATATATAATACTATATATACTATATATTTGTGTATGGGAGGCCTATGTCCACTATTCTAGTACAAACTTATATATTTTAACAACAGACAGTGACTGTAAATTAACATGCACTCAAATATGTTTCCTTAGGCCAACTCGCAGAATTTCTTGTATTCCTGGTGGATGTGTAGAGGTTATGAACGTTCTCCCTTTTAAGAACATTGATCTTGCATCTCATAAATTACCGTTTTCTGTAGTTATTACCCTATTTACTAAAAAAAGAGAACTTGGCTAATATTGATTTTATGTCAGTTCTTCAATATCAAGTTGTTTATGCAATGGATGTAGTATATTTTTTTTCCTATGTGGTAGATTCTTTCTTTAGTAACCCCCTCCCCCAACCAAAAAAAGGTAACCTAACTTAACCTTACCTAGATTTAGAGGTAAATTTTAAAATTGCTTTCTGCCCATGGGCCAAAAGTATAACTGCCTACTTGGCAGAACCCACTTCATGATGGAGAATTTACGTAATAAAAAAACTAGAAGCCTTAAATTAATATTCATACGAATAATTAATAAAATATTACTCAAATTTATAGTTGATAATAAAGCTGAAATGCTTCCAAGGCAGTCGTGTGATATTAAAAATATTTGACATAATTATTAATAAAAAAATTCTAAACATTATCATACCAACAAGTGTTTCATTAGATCATCTGTATGATTGTGTTTATTTAATATGGAATCAGGTGATAAATACGAGTCTAGCACATTAAATGATAGCAAGATCTTTAATTAAATAAGTTAAATCATTAAGCATTTAAATAAGAAAATGTAACAATTATATAACCTTCATCTTGAGCTAAAATGGATAGGCGATTAATTAGTTTGAAACCTATCGACTACACTAAGGACACTGAGGCTGTACGTAACCTTTTCACAAGTCAGGAATACCTTAGTCCCTGTAACAGGAATTAAAATTAACTTTCTGCATATATAAGCTGAGAGAAATGCACGACTGTGCTTGTATTTAGCGAGTTAAAACTATAACAAATCTTAATCAAATTCTAAGACTGTACTTGTCATATGTAGATTTATTAATTGAAAGCAAAAATTTACTTTACAGTTATTAATAAAATATTTTAATGTAATAAAATAGTAGCATTATTATATTCACAAAAACGGTAAACCCGTATGAGTTATTCAGGACGAAAGATGTTGAGTAATTCTAAGGATAGAATAATTATTACTCGTAATAACATTAAGTTCTTTCACAAATCTCAGAAATGTGATTCTTTGTGGCACGTTTCTCCGTGCCTGACACAGGTGCTGACGAAAGACTCAGTGACAGTGAGCGTGGACGCTGTGGTGTACTACCGCGTCAGTAATGCCACAGTAAGTGTGGCCAACGTTGAAAACGCTCACCACTCAACGCGGCTCCTGGCACAAACTACGCTCAGAAACATGCTCGGTACCAAGAATCTTCACGAGATTCTCGGAGATCGAGAGTCCATCTCGTGCGACATGCAGGTGTGTAGATAGGGCTAGTGGAGATAGGCAGAACAGTCCTAGTGTTGTGTGACGGATGTGGTGAGGGTTAGCTTTTGCAACATTGCACAGCTCCTGATGACGCACTGAGAAGTGTGAAAGTACTTGAGCTAAGGATTTCCACCTCCGCGTGGCTTGTCCTGCATATTATATATATATATATATAATATATATATATATATATATATATATATATATATATATATTATGTATATATTTAGTTTATTATTACACAGACACAAAGAATTATTAAGCTTCAGTACTACTGGCATCACTACCTCAGTAAAGATCAGTGAATTACATGAGTCAGCAGATAAGCTCATTTACCCGAACAAACGTGTCGCAATAATTATATATATATATCATTCTCGAATTTCTGTTTACTATCCTTTACCTCCTAGCTCCTACTGACTCTTTATTTACACTTCATACGCCACTTTACTGAAGACGAAATCACTGTTAAAAAGATGCATTATGTTTTTTTAAGTGAAGAAGTAAATATAATAATTTGGAACAGTGTGAACAAAAGTTTTCAAGTGTCAGCAAGTATGAACCTTAATACAATAGTCAGCAATAGTGTGGAAAAAGTACAAATCCTAATGCAATTGTTTGCAACAGTGGGAGCTAGCATGAGCGTTATTAATATGCAACAGCGTGAGCAAATATGGAATTAATACAGAAGTGTATACAGGCTTCACCCTCACCACATTCAGTATGAATGAAAAACAAAACAGTTCGGCGAAATATAGTACCTAATGGATCATTTCGAATACTCAATTATTAATACTTAGCTTTTGATGTTGACATTGAGCTCTAATCGTAAAATATTTTGCCCAACTGTTAATACTGTGTCTTTACTAGTATAAATTTTAGCTTCACTAATGCTGAGCTCCCTTGAGCAGAAACACTATGCTTTGGTGGATAAGATACATAGGCAACATTTAGGCAACTTTATTCCGAAACGTTTCGCCTACACAGTAGGCTTCTTCAGTCGAGTACAGAAAGTAGGCAGGAGCAGACGTTTCGCCAGCCAGTGGTTTTATCAACACAAATTCCAGGACATAACTTGAAGACAGTAGGACTATATATAGTCCTACTGTCTTCAAGTTATGTCCTGGGAAAAGGCAGAAGCAGTAGAGATGTGAAGACGATGTAATTGTATACCATTTGATAATCAACACTATGCTCTACTGGTGATATTGTGCCTCCATTGGCTAAACGGAGGCCCCTCACATGGTGGTATGGAGTCCGCACTGGTGACAAGGTGCCTACTTTAATGGTAATATTGAACCCTTGAACTGATAAAGGGCTTTTATGGCAATACTGAGCTCCAAACACTGATACTGAGCCTATTAGTTGTGAGTAAAAGAACCCCATGCTTGCTAGGTCACATTAGGTACCACACCACCCACCCATCCTATTTGTGCGCCAGCACCGGCAGCTCCAAGCATTGTCACCAGAGCACTAGGCGACCAGCAGGACTAGATGTTGATAATGGCGACTACTTACAGAATTCGCTGGATGATGCCACGGTCAACTGGGGTATCAAGGTAGAACGAGTAGAGATGTAAGTACCACAGTATACCCTTGTTTTCTGTGCCGGAAAATGTATGTGTATGTATTTACGTGTAAATGTAATTATTTATATATTATATATATATATATATATATATATATTATATATATATATATATATATATATATATATATATATTAGTAAGTGTGCGTGTGTTTTAACATTGTTTCCCTTATTTCTAATAGTTTCTAGCATGGTCACAACGGAATACATACACTTGAGAGGTGTATATCTCCCCGTGTGTGTATACACTAAGGTTTTAATCCTTGTTTTAGGGATCAAACTAATACTGACTGGAGGTGATAAGGGTATATTTAGGTTGTATGCAGGCTTTAAATCCAATTATCTAACCATACTTCATAGGATCAGTTCTATAGCATAACAGCCGTAATGTTCTTTCTTAGTATATTCACATTAAAAAATCATACAAAATCTTAGGCTTTCTGAAGTCTGATAAATCATGGTTTATCGATATTTGAGTTTATCACAAACACATACACACACATGTTTCCGGCATAGTTTCTTCTAGCTCTAAGTATATTCTTGCTTTCTAATGCATCTTCTTTCATTCACTGACGGAAGCAACTCCTTCATCATTTCAGGGAGTCTTAGACGATGCCACAGAGAACTGGGGCATTAAGGTGGAGAGGGTAGAAATGTAAGTACATAGATGGGGGAGGGGGAGGCTCGATCTGGCTGCCTGGTATCCCTTCCTCCTGCACGCAAACACTAATATATTATATAAGAAGAAAATAATTAAGCATTTATTTGTTTTCTGAGAAATAAACCACCACCACCAGCGTAGGCCGACCCAGAAAAGACGACACATTCAACATCATTTGTTTTGAAAGTATCTTGCTAGAAGTTAACAGCTATTAATTAGCATCTTGCTAGAAGTTAGCAGCCATTAATTAGTATTCAGTGTTCTCCCACTGGACCGCGACGTCCAGTCACTGCACCTCTTTCATTCGAAACAAAAGTGCGACTATCCATGAACTCCCTCATAAATATTACAATGCTCCTTCTTATATGATAATGGTAATACAAGTATGCTAATAAGACACAATATGTGGTTCATGGCAGTGTATTGAGAAGACGCTTCGTCCAGTAAGGCTTTATCAGTTCTCACATATATAGGCAGAAGGATTATATACAGTGTATAATGTTATGTGAGGTTTCTAAGTTAGATTTGATCCAAAAATACATTTTATATCATTTTCAATAAAAAATATATACCAATCTGTAAGAAATGATTTCGAAAAGTTCACGTTTTAAGGGAGTATAGTGAAGCATAGAGATAGGTGAGTCATGACACCTGTAGTAATATGTTTAAAGACAAGTGAAAATTTCGAAGCTTAAAACTTGGTGGGTCAATAGGCCGACTTCAGTACTTCTGCACATAGTTTATGTACTAGCAGAAGAATAAGTTTGGGTAGTGCTTCAGAAATCAGAAATGAACCTAATTTCTGTGTGATCGGGGTAGCGGTGGTAGAGTCGATTCTAAGCTTAGTCGGCTTCTTTCTGCTTCCTTAATAACTAGTCAGGCGCTGGAGAGGTTCATCAGATGGTTCACCGTGTTGCGGTGAATAGTACAGGAGTTGTTCGTATCGCCTGTCTGGCAGGTACTTCTGTGTTCGCTGAGCACCATGCGGAAGTCCCTAGAAGTTTCACCAACGTAAAACGTGTCACAGTTTCCACAGGGTATCACTTCGGCAGTGGTGTCTTCGGATGCTGTTTTCTGTGTAACTAAGTCCTTTGTGTTGTAGGCTATGGTGGCAAACCTGAGTTGGCTTTTTAAGGATTTAGAGAGGTTAACACTTGTGTTGTTGATAGGTAGACCTATGTATCTGCTGGCGTTGTAATCTTGTCTGGCATTGTCTAGTATCTTCTCCGATCTTTTCCTGCAGCTAGTGATGAAGCTCTGTGGACAGCAAAATTTTAGGAAGGTTTTAATCATGTAGTCGCAGTCTTCTTCAGGAATTTGGGATACGAACACATATTGTGTGCCTTTAGAACGAAAGATAGGTAGTGCAATAAATCTTTTTGTTCGTTGGTTTGCGGTAAATCTTAAAATCAAGTTCCCTTCATTTTTACAGATTATGACGTGCAGAAAACTCATCTGTTTTGCCAAAAGACCTGCTAGTTGATGTGCCGCACTGCTTTTGCCCTAGGTTATAGTTCTCATAGATATGCCTGGCTTGTGTACCTTGGGTAATTTATACGTGTGTGCAGGTCTGGGATTAAAGGGTATCTAAAGTAGAATTTTGACATACTCAATTCTCTTCAAATAAAAACGGATCTCATATAAACAAAGTTTGGTTTGCTGTTCCTGAATGTGCATGGGAAAAGGTTCTTATGTTTATCTGTCGTGTAGCAGCTTCTTTATCTTCTGTTTGTAGTCAATGGAATCCGTGATCACGCATCCTCCTCATTTTATTTATGGTGGTGATGCTTGTAGTGTCACAGTTGGCCAGATCTTTTAAGGCGATGGTGTACCTGTTAGGATGGCCGTCGAGGTAGTTTCAGAAATGGCTGCTGTGATCAGGTGTTCATTCTTCAATAGCACTTCAAATCTCAAAAGGCATTTGCCTCCACTCACTCAACTTTAATATGCTCAAACATGCTTTCTCGATAATCATGACCCTTCTTCTTAAATCGCTTCCAACAATTAAATCTCATTGCCACCCATTCCCAGGCGCCGTATAACTCCTTCTGATTTAATACATGTCCAAAAAATAATAATAATAATAGTTATTATTAATAATAAGACTAATATAAATTCATAATAATCCCACAAATGAGGACACACATTTGTATCACTTAGTATTGAGGGAAATATCCCGAATGTCCATAATTTGTTAATAAAATCGGATTATTCCTGTGCTTCCATATGCAAACGGAATCGTTATCGTAATTAAAGAAAACTTCAGCAATTTCAACTGTATTGGACACTCGGAATAAACACTTTAAAGCAGTGACGTTGTTTGGAAAGTGTTATTACTTTTCCGACTCTGGTGGCTGGCGATAGAGGTCTTTACCATTGCTTAAAAAATTACCGACGAGGTGCGGAAGCTATAACAGAAAGATGGTTTATTTTACCGTAATCGTTATGTTTAAATTCAGAAATTATAGAAAAATGTTAATGGTTTCACTTTTGCATTTAACTGGTCATATTGCACCCGAGAATTTATAGGAAGCACAGTGTTTGGTATGAAAAACTGGCTCATTTGCCTTTACGTAATATTCGGTGAAAATATGGCATACTAACAATAAAGGAAGAGAGAGAGAGAGAGAGAGAGAGAGAGGAGAGAGAGAGCGAGCAGCTACAATCTACCTATATTCAGTTCTACGTACGAAGTTGAAATTGTGAAAATACGACTGAGGAGAGAAGGGAGGGACGAAAGAGGACAGAGACAAGAGGTAGAAGTGATTAAATAAGAGTAAAGAATGGACATCCGAAGAGCTGTGAAGAGTTGCCAGTAATGTCACAAGTTTAACTAAACTGTCCGTTTTATTAAACCGGTTCACTGCTGTAACAGTAAGGCCACGAAAGGATATTTCCTCTGTAAAAAGAACTTGGGATTACCAACACCATTTCCTCTTCTATTTGACTCAACACATACTTCTTCAAAATAGGACCTGCGTCAGGAACGCCCAAGTTTGTCACTAAGTAGACTCGAAGCACTAACGAGGTGTCCCGTAGCTCGGTTGGTAGCGCACTCAGCTCACATATTGATGTCCGTGGTTCGATCTCCGGTACGGGTGAAACCATTGGGCATGTTTCCCTAAGATCCTGCTGTCCCTATTCACCTAGCAGTAAGTAGGTACCTGGGCGTTAGCCAAATGTTGTGGGTTGCATCCTGGGGACAAAATTGACCTAAGTTTCCCGAAATGCTCTGCATAACCAGGGACTATATATATATATATATATATATATATATATATATATATATATATATATATATATATATATAGTGTCACTGATGTCTCATATACTTCTAGAAATAAAGATTATTATTATTATTATTATTATTATTATTATTATTATTATTATTAATGATGGGTTCTGGACTGGTGTCACGGCTTACAGTCTCTCCCTCATAGCTTTGAGCTTGAGCATAATTTGACACTCCTGGCACGGTGTTGTGGTTGATGGTATATTTGTCGTTGATAATCTGGGTCAGCCTCTGAGAAAGATCCTTGTCTGGAGATATTTATTTCCGTGACAAGCAAAACAAGACAACCACCTGACGTGTGTTTCTCAAAAGATGATCCGATCAGCGTTGCAGACCTGTTGAAGGGTGTGGCCAAAATCTATCGGCGCTCGGGGCCTGCTCGAAATGCCTAGCCAGGCTAGGTGTCCTAGTGGCCCCCTCTGTAATTAGTATTTTATAACATGTAAACCCCACAATACCCAAAACCTGTAAACCCCACATTGTAACCCTTATAGAGAATAAACTTGAATTGAATTGAATGATAATGGGGAAGCCGTTGACCCAATGACGTACTACGACAAAAAGAACGCTGGCTCTAGGAGAAAATTGATACCTATGAGTTAGTCATTGCGAGTCGCATCTGATTTGGCTCTCTTGAATCATCCTGTTTTATTTACCCTCCGAGTTCTTCTTTTTCTTCCTCTTTTATTCTAATAGATTCAAGAGCATGTATCAATCACGGATATTTAACATTTGTTAATACCTACAGCCATCTTTTAATTTTCACGTGTTAATTACAGCTCTGGTTCAATAAATGCTATAAGGCAGAGATTGCTATTTTGTAATGTATAGCGCATGCCATCCGTAGACAGTTGTATTAGTGTTTCTGAATTGTCCAATTATTCTCTGATAGGGTCCCCTTGAACGTTCCCATTTTTGCGTTTTCTCTTAAAGCTTATTCAGTCCCATTTTCTCTCAGAGAAGTCGATAACTGGTCAATAATCCTAAGAGCCGTGAATTTATCAATAAGTTATCAGATCAAGCCAAGTAACATGAATTCCTCTTTATATTTGCTACTACAGCACTTTTAATCCAACTTGGCAGACATATAAATACTAATTTTCATCTGAGTAAATCGCAGAGGGTTCGGACAGTTATAGTTATGGAAAGCACTAAACCCGTGAGAATCATATAGCGTTAATTTAATATCATTTTATGCACCCCATACCTATCCTGTGGGCGGTAGTCAAAAAGATTACAGAGGTACATAAGAGGTCCAGGGATTGGGACCCATAGTTTTGATAGCTGAGCAAGTTGCAAAGGCAAGCCTTAATATCTTCCAGGCGGTGCGTGCATGATTCATATGAGTTTAGCGCTTCCCTAACAATATACTAATAATGAAAGGGTTAAAGTCTGTCAACTGCAAGGATCATTAAGTTTATGTTTAAGCCAAATTTGAATTTTTTGCAGTGGATTTATATAGTAAATTATTTTCCCATTGTAGTTAGTCATTGTTATTATTTCTACACTTTACCTAGTAATACAGTAGTGTACATGTTAATTGGAATAGTGATGAAATAAGACATTTGAAAATCAGTGTTTATTTGAAACGTACACGTCAGTGAAAAGACAGATAATTGATTTAATAAGAGATATGACTATCGTTTGCTTTTATATGCATTGCTCCACGCTTTGGCATAGAATCTACCAATGTTGAACACTTTTTGATAAGTTCTTCGTCGTGGTACAGATGAACAATCCTGTTACGCTATCCATAAATTCTCAATTCGGTTGAGGTCAGGAGAGTTTCCAGGCCAATTTAGAAGGATTAGCCCACTCTCTTCGAAGAATGTCAGCATTTTTCTAGAAGTGTGGCATGGAGCAAAATGCTGCTGGAAAATGCCTTCTCCATCAGGGAAATCTCTATCCACAAAGGGAAGTAAATGAGTTGCCAGGATTTTCTTGTATTTGTCAATGTTTATCGTTCCCTCAACAATAATAATAAGCTGTCCAATGCCTTGATGAATGTGTTCATTCCGAAGACGTTTGCCTTTGCTCCGTCTCACTACCACTGATCTGTACCCATGTACTTCAAATGCGCCACATCTGAAAATATAAACTTTTCTCCATTCATCTGTCGTCCATCCCTTATGATCGAGTGCTCACCGCAGCCGTTTTTTCTTCATAGCAGCAGTCAATAATTGTTACTTTAGCAGCTTTCTGGCAGGTCTGCCAGCTTCAAGGATCCTTCGTCGAGCAGTTGAAGAATCAATATTTACGCCAGCTGAAGCCAAATCTCTCCGTAGATCTTTGCTGTTGTTCTTGGAAGCCTTTACACTATTTCTTATGATAACCTTGTTATCGTGAGGTGTCTTGCTTTTTGTTCCACATCTTCCTCGAAACAGCGCTCTATAATCATCAGTGTCATCAGCTCTTCAGAATCCGACCAACAGTTGAGTGCTAGGCTAAAATTTTCGACGCCTTGTCTGACACTCAAATTAGCATGTTTTCTAAGAGCTACAGTACTTGCACGCTTCCTTGGTTTAACTTCCTTATAAAATCATGAACTGAAGGAGGGAATTTGGCGAAACCACAGGAGCACGCTTGCAGGAATAACCTTACAGAACAGCAGTGTTGAAGCACTGACGAGAGTCGAGGGTAACACCACAGCTGGATGGTTGCAAGAGGTCGGTAGCAAACTCCTGAAAATACAAGAACCCAAACTACATTAATCACAAAATTTACCCCTGTCCCAATTAATTTGCACACTACTGTATTAAGGCTACACCACTTGTCTGGTGTAGCCTCAGTGATCGTCGGGTAGTCGATAGGCTTTATACCCTATAAACCAGCAATCTCTTCCATCTCTATTACTTCGTTTCAGCAATATAAGAATTTTTTTTTTCTCATTAGTATTCACCCACGTACACCAAACTCCCATACTTAAAAATTTTCTCCTTTTTAGTAATTGCATACAGAAAAAGGGGTTACCAGCCACTTGTCCTCAATATTTCAGTTGCATTCTACTTCAAACGTTGTATATTGGAGAATTGTGACTCTCTTCTCTATGGAATTTAAAAAAAAAACTAAAACATTAAGAGCAATTAGAGTTATTTGCTGTCGTAATCCGGACTAAATCGAAATATATTAATATTAAAAAAGATTTAATTGCAAGTTTAAGTCCCCCAAATCATATATTTGTGTTAGAAGTTTGAGTAGCAAAGAGCAGTATCCTCCAAGCTTGACTCTGTGGCATGACATCCCGGCCTCGCTGAAGCCCGTTGGAGTGTTAGTAGTAGCAGTGCATCCCATGGATACATTGTAACTTGTTTATAACCATAGCAGCTTCATATATATTATATATATATATATATATATATATATAATATAATATATATATATATATATATATAATATATATATATATATATAATATATAATTATTCATATATACTGAATGTGTTTGTATAGGTTTAGATTTTTAGTATAATGTATTAACTGTCCACAAAATCTAATGAGGTGTTGCTAGTGGAAAACACTCCCACATCATTGTATGCCTCACTCCCATAACCTTTTACTTCCACTGCGATAATACCCTTCCACCATTACCTTTCTACCCTCACCCCAGTTTCCTTTTACACTCTTTCCTCTATCCTTGTTCTCATAACTACTCTCGATCCACATCCTTGTAATCCCTTCTACGCTCTCTCCTATACCCTCACTTCCGTATACCTCTTCCCCCCCCTCACTCCCACATTCCTCTACCCTCTCACTTATTTTCACTTTCTGCCCAACGCTCCTTTTTTTTCATGACTATATTCTCTGTTTCACAGCCCCTCTCATGTCTACACCTCTCTCCCTACTTCCACCCCTTACGTCATTCCTGCTTTTCCTTTTCCCCATCAATACCTTCACACACACAATCAGCCACCACCACCTTCACACACACACAATCAACCATCAATACCTTCACACATACAATCAGCCATCAATAAGTTCACACACACGCAATCAGCCATCAATACTTTCATATACACACAATCAGCCATCAATACCTTCACACACACACATACAAGCAATCAACCATCAATACCTTCACACACAATCAGCCATCAATACCTTCACACACAATCAGCCATCAATACCTTCACACAAACAATCAGCCATCATTACTTTCACACACACACAATCAGCCATCAATAGACTGTTAAGCAGCTGCAGCAAAGCTGTTTTATACCAAAGGAAGATCTGATGCACAGGTAGTAGCATCTGTATTTTCATGGAGGGGCAAAATAATACATATTTTCTCTATGTTGTGGATGGTTGATACATATGTTGTGGATGCATGGATTTATGTATTGTGAATATTTATGTTCTTAAGCTTTATTGTTGTACTTGAACGGCTAATTTCACGAGCCAGAAAAAAAAAGTTAAATTTTTTACAGGCTTTGTATTTACTTCTTTCATGTAGCGTATATACTGTACATTATTAGTGATATAGTGATAATATTATATATATATATATATTATATATATATATATATATATATATATATATATATATATATATATATATATATATATATATATACGTATGTAGTGTGTGTGTGTGTTACTCAGTTTTCACAATTTCCTGCCTTTCTTCTCTGTTTCCATCACCTGATAATCTTCATCAAGTAATTTTCAGAGCATCTTTATCATCTCATCTACCCTCGTGACTTTCCCATATTCACTTCTTAACCACCTCCGCAGAAAAGACGTCCGACTGCCCGTCCAACTGCAGCGGGCTATGGCGGCGGAAGCTGAAGCTGCGAGAGAAGCCAGAGCTAAGGTGAGACAGAGACAGAGATTGGTAGAGGGTATATTAAAATAGGCAGCAGCTCTGCCCTTGAAATCCTGTCCTGTTTATGCTGTAAGATTTTTGATTTCTTGTAGATTATTTCAGCTGATAGGACTGTAATTGTATTTCTCACAGCTGTAGTTTAATCTCTGTATTTTACCCTGCGTTAATAATAATAATCTTTATTTCAGTAAGTACATGATGCACTGTAAATGCAGTACTGCAATATGATTAATAATAAATAATTTATTGCATTATATAAAAACGAATATATAAATATTTAATGTAATGAGGAACCCAGTTCAGTAAAATACTTTTATATAATTCGTATATTAAGTTAATAAAATTGTATGTGATAATTTTGTTCAAGATTATGCAGCGAATTTAAAAATAAATTCTGTATATTAAACAACATAAATGACTGGAGTGAATTTACAGGTGATCGCAGCTGAGGGAGAGCAGAAGGCCTCCCGAGCCTTGAAGGAGGCAGCGGAAGTACTTTCCCTCTCTCCGGCAGCCCTACAACTACGGTATCTACAGGTGGGTGGTGGTGGTGGGGGATCAAGTGACTGGTAATGCAAATTGTGATCATCAGTAAATCAGTTTTTGTCATGTAATTGGTTTAGAAAATTGATAAGTTGAAGAATGAGACAATTGAGCGATATTTTGGGATCTTCGTGGGTAAAAGCTTCGCCAGCCAGTGGTTTTTTCAGTCCAGTAAAGAGAAGAACGGAGAAAGATGAGGAGAATGAGTTAATCAATCACTCAGCCTGGAGTCGATGTATTCAGTCCTCATCTTTCACCGTTCCTCTCTATACTGGACTAGAAGAAGCCTCTGGCGGGCGAACCTTCAGCCCATAATGTTGTACATGGGGTCTTATTCTTCAAATCAACTTTTTATCTTGGATTATCTAATTTCTCTAAATCGTCTTTAGCATAATCCAACGTAAACCGATTTTTTTTTCTAAAATTTAATAATTATATTTCATTTTTCTGCTTTGTGTAGTCTTTAACTTTTCAGTACTTAATTATATTTTAAAACCAAATTACTCATCTATAAATTCTACCTTTCAGACGTTAAATACAATTTCTGCAGAGAAAAATTCAACCATCATCTTTCCCTTACCGATTGATTTCCTTCGTCACTTCATGGGCAACGAGTGACCAGCCACCCTCACCCTGTCTTCCCAAAATGCCTCCTTCGGAAGAAAATGAAAGTTTTTATACACCTCTAAAGCCCGTAGACCGTTGCCTGTACATTAGAGGATAGAGGATAGTTCATAAGAGTATATCACGTGATGACTAACTTTAAGTTTGATATACTGATTGTTAGTTATATGGCTGAAGGTTTGTACAAGGAACACCGCGGAAATAGGTGAGAGGAATGCTTACCAGTTGTGTGCAAGGGAATCCTGGCCAAAATTTACACTGAGCCCAATTTATTGTGTATAATTAAAGCTCACACACAAATTTTGGAACTTCGGTCAGCTGAACTTTCTCTATTTTGTCAGTAGCGCATAATTTCAAAAATCATTTTGATATTTTCATGAAACTCATCAAGGTCGAGTGTTCCTGTGATCACTTTGTATGATATTGTTATCTTATTATATATTTAACCTGGAATTAATTGCACATATCTCTTCCTGAACCAAACGGGGCATTTTAATTTTTTTTCTGAACCCGAGGGATACACGAGTGAACAGTGAAAAAATTCTAATATATATATATATATATATATATATATATATATATATATATATATATATATATATATATAATATATATATATATATATTATATATATATACACACACACACACACTCAAATTAAGTGATTTGAAACTAATATACTGTGAGCTGGCCAGACTGCTCTTTATGTAACATACATGTTATATCTTATGCTATTCCAGTCGATATAGGTAATATGTAAAAATCTTTTCTTGCATCTCTTTCTTCAGATAGGGACTACAGAAGACTAATCGAGTACATTGGCATTGTTATGCAAGATTGTGGCCTGAGTACGTGTCCTTGGTATGGAAGAGAGTTAAGTCCAGGGCCTTTGAAATACATGTTTTTGAAGAACAAGCCACAATTCCGTGGCTGGAACATATCAAACCAAACACAAATTCGAAATGATAACTGGACGAAGCTCCGGTCCGTCCTGAACTATTTCTAATTTATACACGTCTTTGGTGCGGAAGTTGACTCAACCTCAGCGGAGCAAGCAAAGTGGAATAGTATGCTTAACAGCCTGATAAATAACGCACCCAACAGTCTGAAAGAACACACCAAACAGTCTGAAAGAATATACCCAACAGTATGAAAGAAAATACCCAACAGTATGGAAGAAAATGCCCAACGGTGACAGAATACACCCAACACTGAAAGAAAACACCCAGCCGTCTGACGGAATACACCCAACAGTATGATACAACACAATAAAACACGCTCAGCAGTGTGTTTTATCAGTCAACATTATAAGAGGAGTGTATGAAAACACAGCTAGCATTCTGCCTACAACGAAGAGAGGACACAAGTTGCAGAACATGCTCTTATTGAGAGAACATTTCGCTCTGTGTAAAGCACTACAAAGAGCGAAACATTGCCCCAGTAAAAGCTTACACTGTAACGTATGTTCTTTTTCCATAGCTATAATTCTCACAGAACGATCTCAGAGGATTAGACGACTCATTACTAGACATATATTTTGAAGCTCACTTATCATAGATATTTCACTGTTCATGATACATTTGGTGGATTTATTATAGGAGACTTGTTAATCACAGTCCCACGTACTGTGAAATTATCGTTATTGTTCTGAAAGCATGTGAGCTACAATGCCCTTCATGCACTACCTTGTATTTCCTAGAAAGTAAATATGAAAATCACGTGTCGAGTTAAGATTTTGTTTAGTTTTTCTGTGTGTGTGTGTGTACTCACCTAATTGTGGTTGCAGGGGTCAAGACTCAGCTCCTGGCCCCGTGTCTGTGTGTGTGTGTGTGTGTGTGTGTGTGTGTGTGTGTGTGTGTGTGTGTGTTGTGTGTTGTGTGTATGTGTGTGTATGTGTGTGTATGTGTGTGTATGTGTGTGATGT